TGCCTTCTTCCATCTCACCCTGCCTAAAAGATGTATTGAGTTTATATTATATTAGAATAGTATCAAGATAAGCAGCCAGTGTAGAACTCTTATCACGCCCAGGCAGAATCCCATGTGATAAATGTTGTACATTATACAGGGTGGCTGAAAAGTAACTTGCACCCCCACTTAACTTTTCAACCTTTTAAGATATTTGAAATCGGTTTGCGGCACCCTTCTTAAATATGAGGGGCTACAATAATTATGGTCAATTTTGAAAATGTTGCCCTTAGGGGTAGCGGGGGTAGGGGGTAGCTCAACATTTTCAAATGACAAGTATAGTCGAGTTTGGTATCATTGTACAGGTCTTGACGAAACATGAACATTGACATAAAGAAAACCAAAATCGGCTCACTAATAACAAAATGGTGCCCTAAAAGTTTCAAATCCAAATAACCATGAGAGTTGCAAAAAAATTAACTTGCAACCTCTTTAACTTTTTAACTTTTTGAGATATTTGAAATCGGTTTGCGGCAACTTGTTTGAAAATAAAGGGCTACAATAATTATGGTCAGTTTTGAAAATTTTGCCCATAGGGCTAGCGGGCGGGGGTAGGGGTTAGCTCAAGATTTTCAAATAGCAAGTATAGTCGAGTTTGGTATCATTTTGTAGGTCTTGACGAAACGTAACAATTAACATAAAAAAAATAGAAATCGGACCATTAATAACAAAATGGCAGCTAAAAATTATTGAGACAATGGTGATTTAAAGTAATTTTGAGCTGCCATTTTGTTATTAATGGTCCGATTTCTATTTTCTTTATGTTAATTGTTATGTTTCGTCAAGACCTACAAATTAATACCAAACTCGACTATACTTTCTATTTGAAAATCTTGAGCTACCTCCTACCACCACAACCCCTAAGGGAAAAATTTTTCAATACAGACCATAATTATTGTAACCCTTCATTTCCAAACAAGTTGCCACAAACCGATTTTAAATATCTCAAATAGTTAAAAAGTTAAAGAGGGTGCAAGTTAATTTTTTGGCCACCCTCAAGGTTATTTGGATTTGAAACGTTTTAGGGCACCATTTTGTTATTAGTGAGCCGATTTTGGTTTTCTTTATGTCAATGTTCATGTTTCGTCAAGACCTGTAAAATGATACCAAACTTGACTATACTTGTCATTTGAAAATTTTGAGCTACCCCCTACCCCCGCTATCCCTAAGGGCAAAATTTTCAAAACCGACCATAATTATTGTGGCCCCTCATATCTAAGAAGGGTGCCGCAAACCGATTTCAAATATCTCAAATTGTTGAAAAGTTAAGCGGGGGGTGCAAGTTACTTTTCAGCCACCCTGTATATTCTAATGCTGCATTAATACTTGTAAAAAAAAATCTATTTGATTTGATTGCACTCTGTTATTCCATTTTAAATAGAACCTACCGTCGAAGTGCTTTGTACCGAACCGTTACAGTTGATTGGGGAATGTTTATCTTGATATTTTAGAACCCGACCAATAAAATAAAGTAAGAAAGCAAACGATTCGGAGATCAAACGGAGGATAGCCTAGCCCTGCCTAAGGGCTCCAGTAAGTGGGCCGTGCTATAACCCCCTCCCCCCTCCCCCTCCCCCCCTCAACACTCCACGTAAACTGCGATCATACGCTTCAAAGCGTTGAAATTTCGCTTTACATTTACCTAAGCTCGATATTCTACTCATCATAACTTTGGTGTTTATTTATGTATCTGTAACGCGTAAACATCATGTAGTTTACTTTCATATTTCATAGGAAACAGTTTCACACAACCGTTACTGTGAAAGTTGTGTTCGTACATCGCTTAGGTAAGTACTACAAACGTACAACTCATAGCAAAGGCCATATCAAGTTTCAGCTTTGGTATTGTTTGCATTTGCTGACTCATTGGCTTACTAAACAATACGAGAAATGGACATTGGATTTCGAGAAGAGCTTACCTAACACCCTTACCTAAATGTGTAGTTTAAGTCTATATTTATATCGCGTTTGATTTCAAAGATACCGAGAGAGTATTTTGTATACTCTATGGCTTTACTCACTAGTTATAAAAAAAATTAAATTGTATAGTATACTTTTTTATCAACTATGCACACTTCTAGGATAAAAAGCATAGAACAACACTATTGACAGAGTAGGCCGCTTTGTTGTCAGGTATCTTTAATTCCTTCTTGAACCTATAACTTTAAGGATATAGCCAGGACATTAGTTATAATATGGTAACTTTAATTTTTTTACTGTAAAAAACCTTGTTTTATTTATTATTAACGAACCTATTTTATTTTTAACTTAAACAAATATCACATATTTGCAACGGTTTTTGCTGTGGAAAGTTTTATTAACTATACCACAGTTAATCAAATTCTCCCCAGCAAAAACCGTTGCAAATATGTGATATTTGTTCAAGTTAAAAATAAAATAGGCTCGTTATATTATTGACTATATACCATCAATGGTTATATCATATGACTTTAATGTTAGGTGTTATACGCCTTGGTAAGTAAAGTATAAATACTTTTTAAAGTTAATGATTTGATAATAAAAAAGTAGTTATTTCAAAACATATTTTCTATATCTTTCCAGTCGTTTTCATATCGGGATACAGGGGATTAATTTCGTATGTATTTTCCTCCAAAAAGAGTTAAACAAATTAAAAAATAACTAAAAGTAACATTAAAACGCAAATTAATAGATGTGGTAAACTTTTTTAATTACGACAAGCATTCATTACTACAGGGGTATTTTGTTGCAAAACATAGCTTTAAAATTTATCGAAATTACGATGCTTATGTCTGCTATTTGTAAATGAGTTCTTACACGGGTTCTTTCCTATAGTAGTTCTTTACTAGGCCTATAGTATTACCTTAGAGTTTATGTATTATTTCTCTGTGGTGTTGCCATAAAGATCCACATGTTGGTTACGATTATAATCATTATTTGAAGAATATAGCTCATGATATTATCACTCTTTTCGAAATGTACAAAAACTCAATCCTCACGTTTTCACGACATCAGGATTTCCTACTAGTCTTATCTTATTTCGTCAGACCTCCCAAAGGGTTTCAGTGTTCGGATTTTGCTGGCTTCCACTTCTTCGTTTTCTTTCGAAGAATGAGAACTTTTAGCCTCTAGAAAGTATTTTATTAATGTAAAAGTCATTTATCAACCAAAGGCTGAGTTAGTCGTGTTTTTTTGACTACACGAAGCTGTGAGATTAGGCTAAGACACACCTAACAAATTGTCTTTCTTAACATTTTTCAGTGGAATTTAAGTAATTATACTTACCGGTAAAAACGTTTATTATTTTTAATTTTAAATGTTTATATTTCTTTATTAATATGTTTTCACGTATCTTAGGAGACGTAAATTGTATAAAATCACGACTATGAAACACTTTCTTCTACTAACACTTTTCCTCAGCCAATAGTTTGTTTAAGTCTTCAAGCTAAATGTACTTAAGCCATGATAATATTTAACAAGTAAAAGTCGGAAGAAAGCATGAAGGATGGCACATTGTGTTGGTTTGGCAGCAGTATGAGGCTGGCAAGAAGCCGACCAACTTTACGGCGTGTTTTAGTCTACTGTTTATTTTATTCCTTGACTGAATAAAATATAGTTTGCTAAGAAGTAGCTTTTGACATGATTTATGGTGGAATTTCATATTGCATCGAAAACTTGTTGAAATACGATGTTTTAAAACAGTGTATGCCTTTTAAGAACCGAACTCTTTCTTTTGACACAGACAAACTAACAATTATAGGCAATCCAGATATAATAACTGAGCAGTGCGCAGTGCGTACCTGTGGCCACAGTAGCAGTCGATTATTTATTTTTTATGTTTTGTCTAGATGTTCGTGTGTGCATATTTATGTTATATAGACCTCAATATGAGGGAAGATTGCTGTTGTTTAAAAGCATCTGAAGAAGGCGTCATAGTCAGCGAAAAGGTCGTCATACACCCTTACAGGAGGCATGAGAATCACTAGACGAAATCAAGTGAATGAACTTCTAATACATTTTTACACAAACTAAGTTAATACAGAAGAGCCGGTAAAGTACTAATGCAATGAGTGAATGAAATTATTGGATTCTTTTGTAAAATATAAGCTGGACTTTTGGTTTAAAGTCGAGAGTGAACTCTTTTAGTAGCTACGCTACAGAAAGTTAGCAATTATTGTAATTATTTGAGTTATTCTACCATACAGCAGAAAATACTGTGGAAGCCGGACACCACAAGGTACGTAAACCCTACGCAACAAAGTTTTTCGCAAAGTACTGAGAAATCACCTGTTAGCGAATTTCCCATAGGAAAAGGGAATAAGCTTTACCGTAAGAGTCATGAAAAGAACTGGACCCGGGAACGATTTAATTTAACGTTTTGATGTCCCTATAGGCCAAAACACCATCCGTTCAAAGTCATATATATGTATTTATACATGAATACATAATATATTCTTTCGTATATTACAATTATATTAGTGTATATTATACTTTCGATAAGTCGAACAATTTACAAGAGTGCAAAAATTAATAGCTACAACCATTAACGATTATTTAGTCAATGCTACAACCGATTCAATGAATCTATACATCATTTGGATACATGCGATTTCATGAATCGAAGTTTACAACTGAGTTGTCAACACCTGACATTTTACTATGGAGTAAAAAGCTACTTAAATTCCACAACGTATGTTTAAGAACCCCCTGTTTTTGCTGCAGTGTTACAAAAAGGCGTTTTGTGAGTCAGAGTTTGCCCAAACTGGAGCCACTGTGACATCCTGCCCCAATGTATAAAGAAACGACGACAAAAGCTCCTTTCTAAATTTTACCGGTGGATATTTAACAGTTAAAACTCTTTAAATTCGAGCAATCTCCGACTCATGTTAGTCCACACACTATTTAATCAAGTCTGTCAGAGGTTATTCAAGTACCTCTACACAAAGCATTTTACTACATAAAAGGTGATGTGCAACACTCACCAGAGGAGTGTAGTGGTCCGGTGCCCAGCAGCACGTCTATGCTGCCCTCCGTCAGCATCTCGGTGTCCTGATAGCTGATGCTGAGGGTAGCGTCCTCCTGATGCAGACGAGCTAGCACCGCACCCAGCCCGCTCTTGTCATCCAGGTCGTCAGCATCCCTCAGCTGCAACGTCACACTCCCCTCGGCCCCTGACGAGGAGTACATGAACACCGCGGCATGAGGACTGGCGGAGGCGTAGCTGGTCTGTAGTGGCAACCTCACTCCCGGCACATCATGTAGCCCCTGTAACAACAATAACTATATAGTATCCCTCAGCTACAACGTCACACTCCCCTCAGCCCCTGACGAGGAGTACATGAACAGCGCGGCATGAGGACTGGCGGAGGCGTAGCTGGTCTGTAGTGGCAACCTCACTCCCGGCACATCATGTAGCCCCTGTAACAACAATAAATATATAGCATCCCTCAGCTACAACGTCAAACTCCCCTCAGTCCTGACGAGGAGTACATGAACACCACGGCATGAGGACTGGCGGAGGCGTAGCTGGTCTGTAGTGGCAACCTCACTCCCGGCACATCATGTAGCCCCTGTAACAACAGTCACTATGTAGTATCCCTCAGCTACAACGTCACACTCCCCTCAGCCCCTGACGAGGAGTACATGAACACCGCGGCATGAGGACTGGCGGAGGCGTAGCTGGTCTGTAGTGGCAACCTCACTCCCGGCACATCATGTAGCCCCTGTAAAAACAGTCACTATGTAGTATCCCTCAGCTACAACGTCACACTCCCCTCAGCCCCTGACGAGGAGTACATGAACACCGCGGCATGAGGACTGGCGGAGGCGTAGCTGGTCTGTAGTGGCAACCTCACTCCCGGCACATCATGTAGCCCCTGTAACAACAGTCACTATGTAGTATCCCTCAGCTACAACGTCACACTCCCCTCAGCCCCTGACGAGGAGTACATGAACACCGCGGCATGAGGACTGGCGGAGGCGTAGCTGGTCTGTAGTGGCAACCTCACTCCCGGCACATCATGTAGCCCCTGTAACAACAGTAATAACCACAAATAAGCCCACAAAAATGTGATCACAGTTTTTATGGCCATATACGTGGTAATCTTTACCTAAAACTCTAGCCTACACTCACACTTTGCAGAATGTCTGCTGCCAAAGTACACATCATGAGCTAAATTCAAATTGTCTTAACAGCTGATTAGTTGAAGTTCAAAGCAATACAATTTAACTTATTTTCTTTAAATCCTGGAACCTCATTGGTTTGTTACTCGTGCTGTTAAGTAAAACAATGCTGTTAAGTGAATATATTAAATTCTAAGAACTAAACTGAAACGGCTAGTAAAAAAAAATGGTCGTAGGTAACCCAATTAATAGTTGATTTTATTTTAGAAGTAGAGTATATCTTAAAATAGTTTTAAATGTACCGGATAGCAAATCGTTTTTATTTTATTATTTCATAAAACCGCAATAAAATATAGATAAAGAGTGAACTCTGTTTGTCCATAGGTATAATTTATTACTAACTTATACTTGAGTAGGTGAGCCAGTAATAATATAGGCCTAAATTTCTTCGCGTTCACCTCTTCTCACAACTGCTGTAATTATGTTTTGTACGACAAATATTAAAATGGCATTAAACAAGCCTTGAAACATCAATAAACACGTTATACTGTATACACACGTTCCTGTTTCATGAAGCTACACTAAGCCTGAGTATACGTTGAGATAGAACAGTGAACAGAGCTGATCAGGAGTTGCCCCACTTTCTGGGTTGTTTTCAAAGATTGAGAAAAGGTTTTTGTTGTTTATGAACTTGTTTTCCAGTGGAATTGAAGAACAAAGTCTCGTGTGCATTACGTTTTTATCGACTGACCGCAAACATGTGTGTTATATAAAATTGTATACACATCACAAATGTAACTTTAACAACACTATAAATGTTTAACGTAAATAACATGTTTACTGCATTCGAGCGCATGAATTGAATCAATTTTCGTTCGTCGAGTTACATGTTTTTGCTTTGGGAAAAAATCCGTAAATGATTATTCATTGGATAAAAGATTTGCTACCGTATTATAAACTAGGATACGGCCACAAGCACCTAATGTATGCATTTTAACATTTTAATTATATTCATATTTAATATTATTATAGCATAGAAATACCAATCACATCGTCAAAGTCTTGGCACAGCGTTATTAAATATTATGAATGAAAGACTCTATCGATCAACGGATTCTCCGCATTCCGATAAGCTTGGCCGGGTAAGATAGTTAATCACATTCTTCTGCTTTCAATATTGCAACAAAATGTTGTATCTCACTTGTTAATAGGGTGAGTAAACGCAAGATGTTTTGCGAGTTTTATTTCTTGACGGATATTTTTCGTGCTCAAAATTTAACAGATAAGTATTTGCACAATAAAGTATTCCATTAAAATATACACAGCTCATTATTTTATTTGTCTCACGGTTTTCTTATTTAATAAATACTGTATATTTCTATATATTAATTAAACACCCCGTAACACATGCATTTAGGCCTACAACTATTGACTTGACTTTTTTTGTTTTTTATGATATTTGGTTGAGGTGTTTGTGTGGTGCAAATCCTTACATAAAAAAATAAAAATCCTTCAATAAAAGTATGTTTTCCTAGAGATATCTAACAAAGCAGGCCTTATTGCACTCATTATAGCACGCAAAGTAGCTGATCCCTGCATTTACTTACTTTTCGCACTCATTTTACTTTCCACACTCCAGAGTTTTAATCGAACAACACAAAATAGTGAGCTTCTATTATGCAAGTTATACGGGTATGCTTGAAAACAAGTTAGCAGCACAACTAAATTGATCAGTTGGTGCAGTGTTAACTTGTAATTCCATTTGATTATTGATACAACTACTTAACTTAAACTATAAACCCGTTGTTGCGTGATAACATAAACATTACAAACATCAGATTATATTTAGGGTTTGATTCATTATGTTTGTGAAATTTCATTCAGATTTTGATTTGCTAATTTATGAAACTATTTTATCTAGGTTTTTAATTGTTTGTGAGACAATTTCATTTAGGTTTAAATTTGTTAATTTGCGACACTGCATAGTATAAGTTAACCTGTATATACCGTGTTTCTCAAAAGTCCCAACACCATTTATTTATTCACTTTTTAATAGAGATAAAGTTATAATATTCAGGAAATGTTTATATGATAAAAAAAAGGAAGTCAAAACGTTCAAATTTATAAAGTACAATCGGACTGTTTTAAACCTTAGAAAAAGTCACAATCATGGTACTTTATCTGAAAACTCCATTCTAGCTTCATGTTTCTGAAATAAAAATTTATTTTGAAAATTTTGATGTTTATAAACCCACAGTTTTCAGGCATTAGCAATGAGGACAGTTAATTCATTGTAATACAGACAATATATTATTTGTAAGCAAACTCCATGTCCATAAACACAAAAAGAAGCGATAAAAACACGTGGAAGGTATGAAATGAAAGTGATTTTAAGTGTTGGAAAGAGTTGAGAGGACGAAAGCAAATGTGAAAGAGAAAGGCTTGATTTATGACGTCACTATGACCCATGATGTTATTTATCATCTAGTTCACCCTCCCACCCTTTATTGCATCCATAGTGGGTGATTGATTCATTATAGCTTTTAAATATTTCACTTTGACACAAAAACAATATTAATTTGTAATTGGAAGCAACGTAAATGTTCTTAGGTGCATATTTTTGCATAAACTATTTTTAGTTAACACAAACCATACTTATTTAAATAATTTCCATCTGATTTTAGCAGGTAAAACAAATAAAACCTTTGTGATTATTAAAAAAAAACTGTTGACCTGAGAGATTAATAATTATTTCTACATATATAAGATACATCAAATTTAAAATAGAACCTTACTTTGGAGAATAGCAATCAAACTGAATATTTAACAAAATTGATATTAGTTACTATTAATTGAACCGTTTCTTGAATGCATGATTAAATTATGGTGATGCAAATTGACTTGTCGAAAGTTTAGATAGTAAAGATCACTATTAGACGCCCAAAAAGTAAGTTATTTACTATTGAAACTCTAAAGTGTGATTATGTTTCACTCCTAAAATTAATTATTAGCGTTATATTAGTCATTGGTACTACGCCGAAAACGCAAATATGATTTTATCATCAGGGTCGGATGGTTCCTTTGCAAGGATCATTTATTGGAAGCCAAGTTATCAAGTAGTTTTGTATATTAACGATACAACTTCTTGATACATATCGTTTTACTATGGAGTTCACTAGAAGTGTTTTTACTTATTCACCACATGGAAAACGATAGCCAGTTGAGAAATGCACTTTGGCTTAGACTCTTGCAAAAGGTCAGATCGAGGGACTAAAACGCATTATCAACTTTGCTCTTTGTGACGAAATGTCTAGCTTAACGATGGAAAGGGATGAAAGGCTCTAAGCGGCCACTTCCAAAACAAGGGAGGTTAGATGGTTCTGAACAAGGAAAATTAATTTTGAAATCTAGTTACAGGGTTGGAATTGAGTTTTCATTGTCTGAATAGTTACAACAAAACCAATATTTACAATTCACTAATTGATATTCTCTACGAGGTACACATGATTTGGGAGATACGTTCAGTCTTCTACATACGTTTCGAGGAATGATAATATTACTTTACATTTATTTTTCTAATATTACAAATTAAATTCTCTGCAAACATCCTGTAAAACATTGCTTCTTATGTGCAGTAAATAACGTTTCTAAACTTTATGACTTGAATATGGAACACAGTTCAATAATTACTTGTTCCCTCAGAAACTGGTTGTTTCTAAATTATAGTGATTCAAAACAGAAAGCTATATTTGACTGTTTGCGTTATTTTATATTATAATAAAGTTATTTTATAATGCCTGCATGTTTATAAAAGACATAATAATAAGGATTAAGGTATAAGTTATCGGATGTTCACGGATGTATTTCTCCTATACAGATAGAGCATTCATCATCTGGACACCTCGTTATTAATAACTAATATTATTATTAACAACGGACAGCTCACAACAAACCTAGGAACTCGTTAAAGCTAATGCTATTGAAATACATTTTATTGTAATTCAAATCAGGGCAGGCAAATGGACATTCGCTTAGTCTGCATGTTTGCTGCGGCGGGGGTATTTGTCCTACTAAGAGCTGTTTTCTGTTGCAACACATGATTTTATAAACAGTAAACTTATAGAGTGATTTAATACAATTTAATCTCAATACCATGCAAATCTGTGATCTTGCTCCAAAGCTTATTTCAATGTTTGGAGTAGCTCCAGCGTACTGTGTAAACAACAAACTAAGTTGTAGAATTTAAGTTCTGTATGAGGAAAATGTGGAAAATAATTACTAGCCCAACCATTACGCATATTTTAAGGATCAATAGTTTACAAATCTTCACGATAATAGTAAATCGAACAATATTTAAATACTGCTTTCACTTAAAGCTGGTACTTTTAGCTTAAGCCCTGGTGCGGAAGCGGAGAGCGGAGTTGTTTCTCCTTTTGTCTTAGGTATTTTAATGGTAGTGTTTTCCTAGAAACTGAGCAGACCGCCACTGGACGAGCGGAAAATCGCTTCTCTGTACTCCGCTTCGTCGCATAGGAAAAGCTAGCTTAAAGGTGTGTGCAAAGTAATTCTTTGCAAAGGACTGGTATACAGATCTTAAATATACATTCCCATCATCTTGGAACAACATGTCGTAACGTAAATATTTAATGGTGTTAAATCATTGTTTGCAATGGTTTTTAATAAGGGTGGTTTATTACTCACTAACAAGACTACAAGATCGCGCCACTCATCCTACACTCATCTCCATTCATACTTGTCTTAAAACACCTACTATGTATGGTCGCCATTTCATTGAACAGTATTAATATTATTTAATATCAATAGTACACTCATTTCTTTTTTGAATAATATAACTCAATAAAAAACCCCACACACACCTACATTCTATCAAATCCGTCCATAAAGT